AGTTCCCAGCCCTGTCCCAGGAAAGGACCCACACCCCGACCCCGCACTGACCCGCAACTCCGTAGACACCCATCCCACCCTACCCTACGGCAGTCCCGAGTCGCCCCCACAGGTGCTTGCAGCTTCCTTCACCAAAACTTCACTGTAAGCTCAGCCCCGCGCACCCTCCCCACCAGCGATCCCAGCACAGAACTTCCCAGTGCCGAGGACCCGCGGAGCTGCCTGCTCCCTGAGGCACAGAACCGGCGCCGGAGGCCCCCAGGCTTGCGGAAAACCCCGGCGCGAGGCTGCTCCCAGCTCGGAGCCTGGCTCTGCTCCCCAGCGGCGAGAGCCTTGCTGCCGGGTGAGAACCGTGCAACCCCGAGCGGGATGCCGCCCTGAGCACTGCAGCAAGGGACGCAACACTCACACCCTAAGCACTGAAGGGCGCGGGGGCTTTCCCACGTCAGGACAATTCCCACGGAAGTTGCAAAGGACTGACAGGGCATGCAGAGGAAGAACAGAGCGCGTGCAGAGGAGATTCCGAGAAGGTTAGGGCCAACTACGGATCTCCAAGGTCTACGCACCCCCACAACAGGTAGCAGGGCCGGAGCCGGACCCGTGGCACCGCCAGGGAGTGCGGCGCAGCCCAGCAGGCAGTGGACGCGGGGCGCAAGACAGACGGGTCCCGGCAGCAAGAACCCGGGGCTTACCTTGAATTAATGCAGAGTCCCGCGCTCAGCTGAATGAAGAGGGTGTGCTAGTATTCCCGATACATCATTGAATTATTTTAAAAGAGCAAAGGGGTGGGGGAGGGAGGGCGAAGACGCGGGCGGAGAGATGGTGAAATTGAAGGAGGAAGGAGGAATCCACAGAAGGGACGGGGAAGGAAGGCAGGCGGAGGTGAGGGACAGAAACGGAGAACAAAATAAATAAAAGAGAAGAGAGACAATTAAAAAAAATTCTGTCCCCTGCCCACACCATGGAAAAGAAATTTCTGGCAACCAGTAAGAGAACTCCCATACATGCCCCCCGCAGAGACGGCAGACCGGGGGACTAACAAAGGAGGAGGGGAGAAGAGAGCTGTATCCAAACAGCAGAAGAGATCGCTGCCCAGACACGGGCAGCACGCGAGAGGCGGCGAGGGAGCGGTGGGAGGGTGGGAGCAGGACGCCAGCGTGAGCGCGCACACCCGGGACTGGGGGCGGTGGGGAGGGCGCCGCCAGGCTTCATTTAGGTGGGGATTTGTGTTGTAAACCGTCTGAGATCAAGAAATTTAGGTCAGGGTTTCTGTGGAAAAGTTCAATAATCTCAAACTTCTGCGGGCGATTTCCACTCGAGAACACAATTCTCGTTTGTGGGCGGGATGGCCCCCCTGGGGTCCCACTCGTAGACCTCACCAGGGTCCTGGCTGCTTGCTTGGCTGGGCAGGGAGAGGGAAAGCATGATTACATCTACAAAGAAGCAAGGGGGCCGTCCCTGCCTGTAATCCCAGCACTGTGGGAGGCCGAGGTGGGCGGATCATTAGGTCCAGAGATTGAGACCATCCTGGCCAACATGGCGAAACCCGTCTCTACTAAAAACACAAAAATTCGCTGGGCATGGTGGTCCGCATCCGTAGACCCAGCTATTTGGGAGGCTGAGACAGGAGAATCGCTTGAACCCGGGAGGCAGAGGCTGCAGTGAACCGAGATCGCGCCACTGCACTCCAGCCTGGCGACAGAGTGACAGAGAAAACCAGCAAACAAACAAAAAGAAGCAAGTGAACTGGGGGCTTCAAGAATCAAGTTAAGGGAGAAGGAGGGGCGTGCTGGATCAGCCAGAGCCAGATGCTTCCCAAGGAAAAGAGGCCCTAGCCTGATGCAGAGCCTCTTCGCTGCCTGTGGACTGAACCAGAGGCTCTCTGAAGGTCTCCAGGGACCAGCTGAGGGCTCTCGGGAGACACTGTTTCCTGGGGGCAGTTAAGGAGCACAAAAAACCAACAGCCCCCAAACTGAGTCAAACTGGAGCTTCCAAGGCTTCCTAGACTGGAATCCCTCTAGGGTATCCTCTCCCCCATATGGCTCTCTGCATATCTTTTCCTCAAAAATAATAGAAAAGTATCCCAGAACCCTACAGGTGATGACGTTCCGTCCCACCCACCCATCTTAACACTTAACTCCCAATGGGGTCCCTGGGGGGGTTCTGACAGGTGGCTTTATAAACAACCGCCTCCTCTCCCCCAGGAGCTGAGTGAGAAAAGAGGGGCTCCAGAAAAAGAAGAGGAGCCCGTGGGATTGGAAGGGACAAGAAGAGAAGGGAGCCGCAGGGAAGGAGGAGGGAGGGAAAGAGGAGCGTTCTTTCTCTCTCCACTTTTTTTTTTTCTTTTTCTTTTTTTTTTTTTTTTTTTTTTTTTTTTTTGAGACAGAGTCTCACTCTGTTGCCAGGTGCCAGGCTGGAGTGCAGTGGCACAATCTCGGCTCACTGCAACCTCCACCTCCCGGATTCAAGTAATTCTCCTGCCTCAGCCTCCTGAGTAGCTGGGACTACTGGCGCACGCCACCGTGCCCAGCTAATTTTTGTATTTTTAGTAGAGAACAGGCTTTCACCATGTTGGCCAGGATGGTCTGGATCTCTTGACCTCGTGATCCGCCTGCCTCGGCTTCACAGTGCTGGGATTACAGGCATGAGCCACCGCGCCCAGCCTTCCCTCTGGGCTCTTACTGCTTAAGCTTAGCCTTGGCCCAGATTGGTCAAGTCCTCAGAAGGCCTTGTTTGTGGGTGGCCAGCGCTGAATGACGACAGCTGGCCCTTGTACTTGGCTGTGAGCTTCCCTGGCTGAGGGCAGAGCCTGGCACACAGTGGAAACGTGCACTGAAGGGAACTAAATAGCCATGATGCCAACAGCTCCTGTCACCTTTCCTCTTCGCTGGGGCAGGAAAAGGGGCAGCTATGCACCCTGCTTGGTTAGTTCCCCATTTACCCGCAGAAGGTCTGCTTGAGAGATTCGTGCTGTGAGGAGCCAAGACCAGGTAGGTCCCGAAAATTCTCACCAAGCCTGAAAAGAATTGAGTCTCTCAATCAGACTTCAGAAAGCTAGGCTTTAGCGTGACGTTAAAAAGAAAAAAAAAATGTTCCGGCAGGGCGTTAGGAAAAAAATCAGGGCTACATGTCAGTTTCCCAGAGGCTGACAGATTGTTAGAACAGTCTTGGAGGTCTGGTTTCCCATATCAAAAGATTGTTTGGTTGGTTAGTTTTTCTGTTCAAGCATAAGGATACAAGTGGGGGCCTCTCTTGAGCCCTTGAGAAGAAGTCTGCAGATTCCCTGGCCCTAGGATTTGAACTCCCAGGACAGAAGCACAATATGGTGAAGGAGAGGAAGAGATTTTCCCACTTTAGGAAATCACCTCAGAATCTGTTGGAGCTCAGAGGGAAGGAGAATGACTCCATGAACCCCAAAATATACTCTTCATGCCCCCATCACTATCCCAACATACACACATAGTGCTGTCTCCAGCCTCCGAGGGCTTCTCCCCACATCCCATAGCAGGGGCATTCACACTGCAATGTGTGGGTTTCTTTTTTTTAATGAAAAAGTTTAAAGCGCTAGTATACCAGACGGCTGATGGTTTTCCTGGCTTAGAATCTCCTAAAGAGCATAGCATCCATACCCACCCCTCTCCACCATCAAAACAAACAGCAATTGTGCCCACAAACAAGACTGTCCTTGACAACCCATTCATACAATTGGGAGCATGGGATGCTCACCAACTGGATGATTCCATGACCCATTCCCTTTACCTATCTGTGCAGGTGGCTCAATGCCAGATGCCCAAGTATGACCCCCCCAGACATACCTGCCATTTTATTTCTTCCTTCTCTGGCTACAAGTAACAACTAATTAGAACAATATGATGTCCTTTCAGACATAACAAAAATATTGGTTTTGGTTCTTGACCCATTTGAATGAGTTGTGGCTGTTGCTCTAGACGGAGGAGGTAGGGGAAGTAGGCTGGGATGCAAGAATTCTGCTCAGGAGCACACTGGCCTGTCTCTCTCCATCCCTCACCTGTGCTGATACACCTCCGCCCAGCCCCAGACCTTTATCCATCTAGCAAGGGAAAGAACCCAGCGCTCGAGACACACTCCCTGTCCTCTCAATTTTCAGCCCGACTCACAAGAAAGCACCCTGGCCCAGACCTGCACCCCACATGGCGCCTCCTAAGGGGACTTCATACTGGGACCAGGGCTTCAAAGAAAAGACCCTGGTTTAATAATTCAACTCGCTTGAATGCCATTTAGTAGCCATGGCAACCAGTTCCCTGACATCTAGTTGTAGGCAGGATGTGGTTGGAAAGGGAAAGAGAGAAAGAGGAAAAGGTAGAGGGGAAAGGAAAAGAAAGAAACCCAGGTGAGATGTCACCTAAACTTTCCCTGCTCTCACTCCGCACCATAATCCTGACAATGAGATGCCCGTGAACCAACTGCTTTTACCTCACTTTCTTCCCTCCCTCTCTGACTCCACTCTCCCCCCACCTGTCTCCCTCTGTCTCCTCTCTCTCCAACCCACGGGAAGCCGGAGATCTAGGCTCCTCAGTCAGCATTCCAGCTAAACACCTTTGGGACTCTAGCGAATTAGCCCTTCTTTGCTTCCATTTTCTTATCTTTAAAATGAGGGGCTTGTGGATGTCTGCTCTGGTTCCTTCTGGCCCTAACAACGCATGATTCTGTGGTCCTCTCTCTGTCTCTAACAGTGCCTGATTCTGTGGTCCTCTCTCTAACAGTGCCTGA